GTCTCTCCTCCTAGGTAATATACTGTACATTGACAATTAAATGTAGCCATCATACCCTGTCTCAATTTTTAAAACTATTCTTGTTATTGAATGTTTTCAAAATTAGTTTTAAATTGACATAGTTCAAAAAGTCTCCAACATAAACTTTTAAGCAAGTTACTATGAAAAAGAAATCCATCTACTACCTAAAATGATTATATTATTCTCTCTTTATTCTTTTGGGATTTTTCTGTCAATCAGCTATACTTACAAATAATGACATCTCTATTTCTTATGACTCATTTCTTTTTCCATAAAGGGTTAAAAAATGTCAGTTGTGGGCCAATTTTTTAATTCTAATTATAATGGGAATACGTCTAGATTTTACCATCAAAACTTATCCAGGCTTTTAGATTGAAACGTACCACTGGCTTTATCATGTATTTATTTGAGTGTAGTGTGGGATATGCTCATGCTCATGCAAATTCATGTTAGAAATCCAGTTTTTTTGAACTGGTTATCTGTTATACTTTCACATGTTAGCAAGGAATGCTTTTTCTGTTTTCCACAAAAGAGATGAATATTGAAGCACTATGTATTGCAAAGTTGGGCACAAATTTATTGAAGTTAAAAATTCGCTGGACTTGAAAACATAGAGCCCAAATTCCACTTAGGGGCTTGCTTGATGCCACCTATTCTTGAGTTAGACATTTGACCATTGTATTAGTTATTTTTCTGTTGCTATGATAGAAACACTGACCAAAGCAGCTTATAGAAGGTAGAGTTTATTTGCGCTTAGGACTCCAGGAGAATTACAGTCCATCATGGCAGGGAAGCATGGTGGCAGGAGGTGGCTGGAACAGAAGCAGAAAGCAGAGAGCTCACATCTTCAAACAGGCACAGGAAGCAAGAGAACAACTCCAGGTCTCTAACTCTCTAAGCCCACCCCCAGTGACGTGCTTCCTCCAGCATAGCCACACCTTCTAAGACTTCCCAAAACAGCATCACCAACTGGGGACAAAATGTCCAAATACTTGGAGCAGTCTCTTTCAAACCATCACAACCATTCTGAAACATACATTACAGGACATTTTGCGCGATGCTCATAGTCCCTGGGAACTAATCGACCCAGGAGGGCAAGGAGCAAAAAGTGTCCTTTGAATCCCTCTGACCCAATTAGTATAGATCTCAAGGTATGTCTGTTAAACATCCAAGAAGGTTAGTTCCACCATTCTGGCATTTTTAATTACTGTGTGTCTTGCAGAAAAATCTTGGGTAATGACCAGTTGGTCTCAAATAAACCTTATCTAGAGATATTTTTCTTGATCTGTTATGTATAATTTGTCAGTAGATTGTTGGAATAATATGGTTCCCTCTGGTTTTCAAAAC